TTAGAGTGGGAAGGCGTAGGTCGCTTAAGCGACGGGGAAACCTTGGAGAGGTTCAGCTTGGTCATCGGTCTTCGATCTAAAAAGCTCACCTCGTACGAGAAGAGCAGGATTGCGATCGTCGAAAGACGAGGTGGAATGATCTCCTCTTATCTGATCCTCTTGAGCAGCAACCAGGAAATCTTGGAGAAGTTTAATCTCTCTTCCACTTGAATTCTGTCGCTACCGAAAGGACCATCTGGTGGTGAGCAGATTCTTACTCCAGCCCCAAGTGACCCCTCTCGCGTTTCGCTTCAACAACGATCGCATTGTCAGGGATGGAGTACACAGAGCATGGCTTGAGTGTTGAAAGCAGAGCAGCACTCAGTTCACTATTGGACGCTTGGCTGTATGACAAGAGCATTTTGTAATTTATTGTGGCGAGAGAGGTGTAGGTGTGTGTGTGTTGGGGGGTTGGGGGGGGGGGCTTGGAGGGAGGGGGACACTCACTGAGGTCTGACAGAGAACCAAGAAAAAGCAGCAGTGAACAACCTATCCCTAAACCTTAATTCCAAAAGCGCTTCCATCTTACTACTAGCAAGCATCTGAAACCCAAACAACAATAACGAAAACCTGACTTCTCTAGCAAGTGGATGAGTGCTCATTTTCTTATGAGCACCAAGAGATCTCATCATCAAACGAATGAGAGAGACCATTATACCTGGTTGACGGTATTTAATAGCTTGGAATTGACTAGATAACACTTGAATGAGTAGAAGATGTGGTCGGAGAAGTTTACGAGCTTTGGCAAGTTCTAAATCCAAGACTTTCTTTTCCGAAGGTGCATATTGGATTTGTTTCTCAAAAGGGTCGGTGTAGCTGATCATTAGTATGTCACATTTGAGACCCGAGTTGAAGACAGTGGATGACTGATTTGAAGTAGAAAGGTGGAAATTTGTATGGAGCCGGATAATGTTGCTCATGGAGTGAAGATTGGAGCAAGACTATGTGAACGAGAGCGCGGCTGATGGTGGTGGTGGTGGTGGTGGTGGTGGTGGTGGTGGTGGTGGTGGTGGTGGTGGTGGTGGTGTGGTGGTAAAAAGGTGGTTTGGAGATAAGGGCAGGTCCATAGAAGTGAGGAAATGGCTGATGGTAGTGAAGGTACAATGGGGACCACACCAAACCAACGTTGATGACAAAGATAGTTGATGATATCTGCATAGAGGACAAGAAAAGAAAGACACGACTCACTTCATGGAAGTACTGAACATTCCTTTCCCAGCCCTCACAGTCTCTATCCATCCCGCAGCGATTTCCCCAATAACAGCCACTTCAGCTTCTGGTCTTTGTCGAAGTAACCAAGTCCAAGCGTCCACTCCGGCGGCGATGGCAAGTGGTGTGAAAGCTGTCATGGGAAGTTCGACGAGATAATGGATGATATCACTATCGATCTGTTTTGTCAACTATCAATTCTCGGGTTCCCATTCACTGGTTGAACCACTTCGACCGTCCATCTCTGATATCTCTGATCACTGAATGAACCATTCCGAACTTTCTCCAGAGCTGAAAGGTCCGTCCGGTCCGTACTGTACCTACTGTAGTACGAAGCTCTGATTAGAGTGCCGACGGAATGTACTGACTAGCCGTTTCCAAGGCTTTGGAGCCATGGTGATGTATCGGAAGTATCTCGTCGGTGAAGCAGAGAACAAGATGTGGCCCATCATACTATGTGTGAATGAGGAACACCACTCACTTTAGGCGAAGCTGTCAAGACAGAAGCTGCACGTAGAAGTATTCGTCTGACTTCAGGGACGGAAAAAGGTTGTTGTTTATTACGTATGTTGGTTACCGCTTGAGCCATCTGAGATTTGAACGCTAAAAGTTCTTCTTCGGACGAATGAAGAGGGGCGTCTTTCTGTAGGTTCTTCAGGCCTTGAAAACATCAGCCATGTTTCTACGTTTTTTCTCCAGAAGACATAATTTGCACAACCGTCGACGGACCAAGATCCATCGTCTTTGGACGAACGGGAACAGTACGATTCCACCAGCCAGGTGATAACGAACAAGGGAGCTCACAATCGAAGATAAGGAGAATCGAATGAAGAGTATGAAGCCAAAGAAGGGTAGTAGGTGGGTATAAGTCCTGTCATGTAGATGCGATAGAGTGTTGAAGAATGTGACAAAGAGTGCAAGAAAGAAAAGAGTGAAAAGTAAGAAACTTAAGGATAACTCACCTTGCTCAACAACATGTCTAACCCCACTTAATTCCCCAACAAAATAATTCTTAGCGGCATATTGACTAGCGACCAAATTCGAACAATCACCAGGCCATCCTCCAATATTAGGCATCAACATTTCTTGTCTATCCAATTTGGAAATAACTTTGGAGAAATGTAATGCTAATCCAGCTCCCATTTCAACACTATCAATCAGTAAAACATCTCTTGATTCGGAGAGATAAGATTGAAGTGTTGATTGAACTTCTATAGGTGCGCGAGAAATAGCGAGGGTGAGCCAAGATTTAGCGACTGTATGTAATTGTGTAACGATTTCGTTTCTGACTGAATAATCTTCAGTTAGTTGAAGTGTCAAGTCTAATTTGTCGGAATGAAATTCGTATACCGGAGAATACTATTTATCAGCTTAAACCTTCTACTTTACTTATCTCAGATCTTCCTTCTCCCGAACATGTTTTATCTCCTGACGCAATTGGCTCATGTAGAAGAACCGTCACATTTGTGTACGTAGTATCATCTCTACTCGAGATGACTGGAAAGATGAGGTAGATCACTTTGTTGGTCGCTTACAGCCACGAGATAGATGAGAAGGAAACCCAGCAAGAGAATTTTTAGAGAAAAGGTCCAGAAAGTTGTGAAGGATGAAAATATAGCGAAACTCACCTCGTCGGTATATTGCAACTCACAACTCCTTCTCATCAAAGTAAGGATTTCCAACAAAGTCCAAACCACTTTCTTATCGCACATCAAAGCTGAAAAAGTTTCCAAAACACCTCTAGCATATTTCAAAGCCATCTCCCTTACTTTCCTAAACCTATGTGTGCAAGCTTTTAAAATCTCACAAACTTCATCCGAAACGATATGAGGTAAAGAATGAAGTACCACTTGTTTACTCAATTGTTTTAAAAAGTTTGAAATTATTTTATTACCCGAAGCCTCCAACGGAGAATGTAATAAACTATTATTGACACTTTCGTTTGAAAAATATTGTAATAAAACCGAAGGTCGATATCTTAAAGTACGAAGATTTTCGAGATCGTATATAGCCATCAAGAATGTCATTTGTGGTACTGACATTGATCTTATATGATGTGAATGTCGTTGTGGTAGATAATCAGGTAAGATTGAACGTTGATATTGTTGAATGGATTGAGCGAAATCTTTCCGAATGACAGAATTATATTCTAATTCCGAAGCTACATAATCCGTCATTGATTCCAATAATAAAGCAGGAGATTTTTCAGCTATTATATTCAAAGCATTTTGTTCGTGATCTGAAAGTTTTTTATGTTTCCAAGATGATATATTGAATGCTACGCATAAAAACCATAGGTTCCTGAAATGTGAGACTAATTCTGGAGAAGGTGATTTTGATGGATTATAATTTGAATGAGAGAGTAGAGAAGATATAGGAATGAGTAATGCCGCAAGCCAAGATTTCATATCGGATACTCTGGCTTCGCTATCTTCTTTCAAATGTGCCAATTTTTCTTTATCTCGAGTATCGAAACCGTATGGAGCCATGGCGATCATTTGAGTTTGAGTTCCCTTGTCGGCAAAAAGAGTGAGTAATTCGACTAGATATCCATCGGCACAATCAAGACGTTCAGACATGCCTTTGGCGAGCGTGGTTTGAGCGGCTAATACAGCATTGGAAGCCATACGAGGATCTTCAGGATGAGCCGAACGTGAAATTTGAGAGAAAGCTCGATAAACATCGACAAGATCGGAATTGTTACTGGCAAGAGCTAGAGGTACTAGACTGATAGCTATAGTAGCTTCGATGATGAAATCAACTCCTCGTAATCGTTGCAATAACATTGATATGCTAAGATGAATGATATCGTCTCTTCCGATGTCTAATGCTAGACGTGAAACCACTTGTACGGCAGTGACAGCGACCAAACGACGTTGTTCTTCGGTTCTTTTGACGGAAGCATCGGATTTCACGGTGGCTCTGTCGGTGGTGTCGGTTCGAGAAGAAGGACTGGTACGATGAGGTATAGACGATCCCAGCAATTGGCCTGGAGCGATGCTCGATCCTCCTCCATGAGTCAAAAGATTTAAGAGAGAGTACAAGGTTGACGAAATTAGGTCATCATTCGGAGCAGACTGAAGTCAGTGATTTCGAAAGTGGAAGTTTGGACTGACTTACCTGAATACAAATAGCCAAACACTGAGAGGCGGCCATAACGGCAGGGGGTACTTCAGTCTTGAAAGCCGCCATCTCACCTTCGAAAGCCGGTAAAGGACTGGTGAGTAGTCGTCGAATATGATGTGCCATTCCAGCTCCAAGAGAAGGTTCGTTCCTCACCAAGATGGAAGTACAGATGAAAGCCGCTTCGAGAATTTTGGAATCTCCCACTGTGCTATTTTCCGATAATAACAACTTCAATCGAGCAAGTTGAGCCTCATCTTTTTGTTTCTCATGCAGGTTGAAGAAATTCAGTAAATGCTACATGCTCAGCTGATTTCATGGTGGGTTGAGGAGAAAACTTACCAAGACTGAAACTCGTAAATCAATCTCTTCGTCATGTTCCACGCCACCCATATTGAAAACACTATTCCGACGAGTTATCCCTGTACCTTCCCCAACACCCATAAGTTCACTCCACCATCTCATGGCCATAGCTTTAGCATTTCCCAAAGTTTCCTCGCCATATTCACTCGCAGAGAGACGATAAGCATCTTGGTTGATCTCTTCCCTGATCAGACTTTCAATCTGTTGACTCAAAACGGGTGATTTTCCAGCGGAATGCGCGAGGTTTTGGATCTCTATCTGTCGAGCGAAATCGTGCTGATGAGGTGTCGTAAGAGGTAATAGAGCAGTAGCTAAGAAAATCCCCATAATCTCAGAAATGAGAAGAACCACAGCTCCTGGAGTTTGGGGATGAGGTGGTGTGAACGGTGAAAGACGGTATTCAGCAGGAGTGTTGGGATTAGAACCGTATCTCAACAACTTTACAAGATTGGCAGGTCCCGCAATTAACAGTGTTTTGTCCATCAAAGTGGGGAGTAGCTGGGTTGGGATACCGGGTAGAGGACATCGAGAGAGGACCGAATGAATGGAAGTGAGGAGAACCAGGGGGAAAGCTACTCATCAACATCTCTTCTATGTTGAGGTGTTTTTTTGCGATTAAGAATTCACACTCACTATGTGGTCCATCCGCTTTCATCATCTCTCCGATAGTATCGAGTAAATCGACCAAGATCTGAATAACATCTTGACGAAGATAATCCACTCCCCATCCTACCCAAAATACGGCACCAAGTAGACTTTCACACAGTTGAGCCTGAGCGGAGGTTCCCAGAGATGTGACAATTGTCCTACCTGCAGAAGAAGAGGGAGAATCAGTCTTGCAAGATTTGTTATGTGCCAAAAGCCCATCCAATAAGGTTCTCAACTTGGGCAGAGAGGAAGACAAATAAGGAGAGTTGAGAGGGAGAGAAGATACGTAGTGGGCGTAAGAGATAGAACGGTTTATCTCGAATTCAGACTTGATGTTAGTTATTGAGTTTTTGTGATGAGGAGACTCACCCATTCTTCTTCTACTTGTTGTATGGTTGGTGATTGTGGAAGACCTTTTAGTAAGATGGAGATGGATTCTTGAGAGTTATCAGATGTGGATGTCGGATATTTGGCGAGGTTTGAAGCAAGAGAAGTGAGGATATGGAGATGAAGAGGTTCGTCAAGACTGCGAGTGAGCCGGTGTGGTCTGCCAATGGTCTTTTCTAAGCTTACCTGTCCATGTTGGTCGTCCACCTGCGTCTGAGGCTGTTGGATGGAGAGAGAAAGGGCAAAGGTAGAGTAGAGGAATGGTGCTGAGTTGGATGTTGTACAGTGGGCGTGGAGGTTGGGGAGTGAAATGTGATTGTGTTGTGGTTGTGGCGCAATTCCCTCTTCAACAACAAACGTTGAGTAGTATATGCGAAACGGCGGTCTCTCGTGGCTAAGCTTCCAGATCCATGACCAACTCAAGACGTGAATTCGCTTTAGCTAAGTTAGAACAGCCTAAAACTATTCTGTAGCAGACAAAGTATAGAGCCATTCATTACAATCACTCAAGTATAGGTCTTGGCGGCAAACTCGCCAAACCCCTCCGTTGACTCTCACTTGAGATCTGTCTCCCAGATCCTCCTTCAGCAGTTTTCGTCGATACCTCAACCTTTTCACGATCCCTCTCTGCCAGCTCCACCTCCATCTCCCTCTCCAATTCCTCTGCAGCCTTAGCCGCCGCATCCGATCCAAGATTCTCTTCGACATCCACACCATCCCCATCTGCCATGGTGGGTGAACTAAGTGTTTCTAGGTTCGACATCCTGGGAGATGAAGGTCCAGAAGTGATTCTTTGACCAGGGACGTATGTCTCATCTTGAGGTTTATGACGGGCCATGGTAGCTAATTTCGCTTCCATAGCTGCTATCTGTGCCGCGGCGCTGTATCGTCAGTCAACGTCCATTCTTTTTCAGTCACAGCCTAACGAGATTACATGACAAAACCCCCCCTCCTCCGTCGCCGATGTAGTGTATAATTGACTGGGGACATTCAAAGACTTATCGATACAAAAAGTACGCCAACCAAAGAGTTCATTAAAACAAGAGAAGCGTACCGGAAAGTGTAAGCGAAAATGCAAGTGGTAAGGGGAAAAGGGAAGAGAATAAGCATGACCCACCTTTGAGGTTTCTTGGAAGCTTTGAGTAACGACAAAGTGGTAGTTTTCGGTGGATCACGACGACCTTTATGAAGTGAAGGCATATCAGTAGGTGGAGCCTCAGAGTTAACATCACGGCTTTATGTATGTTTTGATTCGTTTTTTGACTCACCGAGTTAGCAGGGGTTACTACTAAATTTCTACCACGGAGTAAACGATTATGAAGCTTTATCATAGCTTTTAAAGCGTCCTATTGTCAGCTCGAGCCAAATCTCCCCTTTTGCCTGCTGAGAACCACGACATTGTACTTTTTTCACACAACTTGTAATGGTATCTGACGAATGACATCTCCATCCCTATCTCGCCCATTGTAGTTACAACATACTTGCCTCTCTAACATCCATCAAGCGATGAATGAGTCTTATAAAACCTCCATTCATTCATTTCTATATCCCTCCAACATCTTCTGCATACCCGATGACTCTCGAATGAAACACCAGATATGGAAGAGAATGAAAGAGGAAGGAAGTGGAGAATGACTCAACTCACGTCTTTATCCGAATACTCGACAAAAGCATATCCTCTAGGTTTACCTTTCAAAGGTCCATTCCTATGGAATATAAAATCCAGTTTAGTGACTTTCCCATACTTTCCTAATATCTGGATGAGAGTGTATTCGTCCACTGTCGGAGCTAAGTTACCCACGTAGAGTCTATCGGGTTTACCGGATGGTGGGAGTGGGGTAGAAGTATGTGAGGAGGAAGGACCTGCTCGAGAGAGGGATGAGGGGGAGGGTTGCATATGACAGTAAAGTATCCTAAGATTTGACTTGTGGTTGCTTCATGACATGCTTCGTTGCACTTCTTACTGTGGGTGGGAGGGGGGTGAATGACGTGGGATTTTATGATGGTGTCGTGGGGCCCCGCTGCAGATGAAGACATGGGTAAGCTGGAAACTAGTGTTATGGCTATATTCTGGGGGTTGTGTATGTATCCCCAGTAATCCTTGGATCCTTGGTGATACAATACCATCTAAGATGCCTGCCTAGGTTGTGAAGTGTGAATGAACTTGGTGTTGTTGTTGTAAGAGGCTGTTGCAATGGGTTCAACCCCCACTTTGCCCCACTCTACTAGACGAGTCGAAAGTCCCTCTCCAACAATCCACAATCCTCCCCATTCTCTCTTGATCTCTTTGCCCCTTATCTTCAATCAAACCAACGCAGACCCTCTCTTTCGTCGTCCTAGATGGTATAGAGAAACACAATATCATTGAAAGTACGGTGCAGAGTTCTCCACACCCAAAGAAATATCCGATAAAGTTGAACCATGTCACGTCTACCTCTGGTCCGATTACTCCCTCATGCCGGTGTATATCGTTATGGTACTCCAACCACCTCTCCTTCCGCTGCAATTTTACGTCTGGCGGATAAAGGTTGGACCATCTCACAGGCTCCGAAAGAGGGATGGGCTGTTGTTGGAGATACGGATGGAAGAAAGTTAGCTGTTGAGGTTGGTTTTTCCATCATCTCGGCATATCAACCACTTTCATTTCCTTCTTACCTTTTCGATCTTTCTAGAGATCCAGAAATATCAATTACTTTATACTATCGTGTGACTTGAAGTTTCACTCTCCGAGTTCTCTCAATCCAAGCTCAAGCTAAGGGCGAAAGTCACTGTACTCGTACAAAGCTAAATCTTCAGACCCTTCTAAGTCGTCATCGTATATCTCCCAATCCTCCACCCGGCGCATTCCCTTATCTAACTGAAACATCTCAAACAATCCGTCATCTAGCTTTCGCACGTCCACCACCTTCAGGAGAATTCATAGATTTCACAGCTCGTTACGGTGCATTACAAGAAGAAGATCGTTTAACATTCCGAGATCAATTAAAAAAGTATGGTTCTTCGAAAGAAATAGAAAACGTTTCAAAAACTCTTGGTATTTCTCATTTACTTGATCTTCCTGGAGTTTCATTATCTTCCGGTCAAACTAGAAGAGCGAGGATCGCCTCTGCTTTATTGACCAAACCTGGTTTATTATTACTTGAAGATCCTATGGCTGGATTGGATGTGAGTTCTAGAGAAGAGGTCAGTAAAGTTTTAGGAGATTTGAATGAGAGGATGAGAATTGTTTTGGTTTTGAAGGATAAAGAAGGTGGGATGCCAGATTGGGTGAGTGATGTGGTTGAGGTCAAAAATGGAAATGTATGGATTGGGAAAAGGGAAGAATGGGAAGAGAGAAGAAGTGTAAAACATGAGAGTAAAGTGGAGGAGATACAGGAAAAGGTTGTGGAGTTGAAAGACGAAAGGGTGGAGTTGGACAAGAGGAAAGAGGAGGGAGAGACGATTGTCAAATTGGAGAATGTTTCTGTTTCTTATGGTCAAGGTAGTAGACCTGTACGTTCTTCTTCTTCCTTCTTCTTCTTCATTTTCTTCTTCTTTTTCTTCTACTTCTACTTCTTAACCTTCTTCTCTTTTTACTGTCATCCCCATTCATATAAATCTGAATTACTCCTCTCTATTTATCTCCTTGTACGTCTCTTTCTTTGCTCGTCACCATCATTCCTCCAACGCACCAGCGACGAATATCGGGAAGGGAAAGGTTTGAATGAAACATGAGACAACACGAGTGGATCAATCCTCACCCATTCTTAATCAGACTGAGAGGAACAAAACTGACAAAACGAAACATCATCTAACTTTCATAGGTACTTAAAAACATTTCATGGGAAATAAAAAAAGGTGAAAAATGGCATCTTCAAGGACCTAACGGATCCGGTAAAACGACACTTTTATCAATAATACTAGGACATCATCCTCTTTCTTTCTCAATCCCTTCAACTTCATTAATATTATTTTCGAAACCACGTCGTTCCATCCCAACTCCAATATTAAAAACAATGATAGGTCATACAAGTCCAGAAATTTATTCTTCTTTTCCTAGAGGAATGGGATTAACAGCATTAGAAGTTATAGGTACTGGTTTCGAAGGTATTTTCTCAAGACGTAATTTATCTTTTAAACAAAAGAAAAGGATATTAGATTTATTACAAGGTTTTCAAGATTTATTAGGTGACAAAAAGGAAGAATTGGGTGATAAATTATTTACGAGATTTACTAATCCACAACAATCTTTATTATTGTTATTAAGAGCTATTGTTGGTAAACCTGATTTAATCATTTTGGATGAACCTGCTCAAGGTATGGATGAGGTTTTATGGGAAAGATGTTGTGAATTGTTATTTCAAGAATGGAAGGAAAATGAACAATCTGTGATTGTTGTTAGTCATTATGAAGATGAAGTGAGTGAAAGAGTAATTTCCCCTTCCCTCTCTCCCCAAGCGAGATCTTTTAGCTTTTTGCTCTTTCATTATTAATTCCATTCGAGATCCTCATCTTGTAACCTTGGTCGATATACTCTCATCTATCGGCAGAGAAAAACAAAGATATGGAATTTGATCTTGACTGAGGATTCTTGTTCTATGCTCGAACACGAGTTTTTCTTTTGAATCACCCGTCATGCTGGAAAATTACCTCGGGGTGAGAGTGTCCGTACTAGTGGTCCAGTGTCGTTTGAATGTGGGAATGGGATAGAGTCTGGGGAGAAAGTAAAACGTTGGAAGAAGCTAATGACAGGTACCATGGAAAAAAGGACGAGGAAGGGTGATCAGGTTAGATCAAGGAGAAGCTATTATCGAGTAACACGAATATCACTGTATATCATTTTAAAAACTTACAATCTTTAAATTCGTATTAGCATGGATGATTCTTTATCAATCTGCATATCTGCTATACGCCCAAAAGCGTCAATATTCAAGGGATAAAAAGAATAAACGCTCGCCGGGGGAAGGAAACGCCATGACAACATTGAGATCATGACCCACTGGCATACAAGGCGAATTCGTCTCTCGCTCCGGACGATTGTGAGAGGGTTTTATCACCTTCAGCGGACTGTTATCAGTCTCAAATTATATCTTCTTTTGACCGCTCTCCCGATAGTCCCCCCTCCTAAATGGGATGAGTGAACCAGATACACCTTTCGAGCCGTGTCGCTGTTCACGTCACTGTCCAAATCCGATACAATGAGGTGGACGATAGACTGTGAAACATCTTGCGGTGGGGATTTTTCAACGAGGAAGCCGGGGTGAAAGCAAAGGAAGGGCAGATAGTGACGACCCAGGGAGACAACTCACAAACCATATTCTTCTCAATCTGCAATTGGCATATACTCTGACATATGAAACACTTGCTAATTTCCCACTTGGAAGTTGTGTTTCTTCCTTACTGGTCCTCATTCCTCCTAGCCCACTTTCTTCATCATCATCGTCTTCTTCTTCTTCTTGCTCATCTTCTTCATCCTCCTCTTCAATATCTGCGACTTGCCTTTTCGTATATCGTTCTTCATTCCCAACCTTCATTCTTTTGGTGTGACGTTCCATCCCATTCCCTGCCTCTATTGAACTGTTGGTCCTGGGTAAAGTTTGAAACAACCCCAAAAGCAAGTTCAAATCCAAAACCATCTCTGTCCAAGGCGTCAACATAGTCCTTCCTCCCACCGGTAACTTCAATGGTAACTGTATCATCGGAATCCTTCTCTCTGAATAAACCTTTGGATCTTTCTGAAAACTCGATATCCTTACAACCCCCTCTAATCCTTTAGTATCCACCAAGCCTATTTCAAAACAAACATGTCTTTTCCCAAGAGGACGAAATTGGAAAGTGATGAAAGGTAATTCGATACCTAATGGTTTTATACGATTCCTTCTCGATTCTTTTCTGGCCGAAGAAGACTTTCTAGATTGAGAGTTAAAGTTTTGAGAGTTGAACTGGGTAAAAGAGGTTTTGGAAGAACCAGATTGTATGTAGGTTTTATTGAGAGTTGGACTTTGGATATGTATCACTGGTTCGGATAATGTACCAGGTGTAGGATGACGTGGTACGTGATGATATTTTGATCGTGAAGAGGTGGAAGAGTCAGGGAGGAGAGTTATAAATGATTCTTTCGGATGTAAGGGGGAAAGATGGGTGAAGAATGTTGTCAAGGGGGGTTGGGAGGTGGAAGAGAATAAAGAGAGGAGGGGAGGCTGAGAAAGTTAGTGCTTCGTGCGAGATTAGTCCGAGGTGAGGAGTATGTGAGTATCAAAAGAAAGAAAGAAGGAGACGGGGGAGACGGAGGAAGGAAAGAAGACAGGGGAGGAGATGAGTTACTAGTAATTGGTATAGCACCTAAAGGGCAGAAAAGCGGGAGGAAGAGGGGTAAGCAAGTGGAAGAAAGACTGGAAATGAAAACAAGTAGAAAGCTCACTTGTATGGTACCGGATAAAAGAGACATGATGAATGTAGCCCAATGACTTGAGATTGAAGAGATGAAAGGTGAGAAAGAAGGAAAGTGGTGAGTTGTAATGACGATGACGACATAGGTTTCGATGGCGTCGGTCAACTTTCTCTCCTGCCTTCTTCTTCTTTTACTACTACTACTAATATGTACTACTAATCTCAGTCGGATCTCATACGGTGTAGAGTTCTTCCTCTTGATGGTCGGTCAAATATACCATGTACGACTAGGGTATGCGACTTTCCAATCCTCAATCGATTTCAACCTCACTCATCTTGCAACCTTTCCTTCCAGTTCTAACATCTGAATTTACGACCTTCTCTCTTCCATCCGACTACCACTCCCCACGTATCTCAAGATCAGAATGAATAACCCCAGACCCAAGATGACGGAAGACCATTCCACTGTCAAACCCAGTACCTCTTCTTTCGGGTCTTATGGCTTTAGTGACCGAGGAAAAGCTTTCGAGAAGATGAAAAATACTGTCGATTGGTCGTCTTTTGGCAACAATATTCCAAAGCAGGTTCAGCCTCCAGCAGATCCTCAAAAATTGACAAAGGCCGATTTCGATAGATTTATCAAAGCATTTATTGAGGCTTCTACTGCGAACTCGGAGTTGGTCACAGACCCGGTCACCTCTTCCAACTTCGTTTCTCCCATGACTACTCTCACCCCTACTGAATCCAATCGAGAGTCCAGTGTCGATATGCCCGATGAAGATATCAATCAGTTCATGAGTGATGTAATGTCAATTCCAGTTGATTCGCCTACCACCGGAACTGTGCCCCTTGATATCAATCAGGCTTCTGGAGGGAATAGGGTCAGTCTTGCGATAACTCGCCCTTTGGCCGAACGAAGGGGTCATTCGCCACTCTTCATTTCCAAACACCAACTGAACTCGACACACAAATCTTCGTTGTGTGTTTCTCGACCAGACTCACTCAAGGGAAGGAGTCATAGAATGGAACCATATCCTTCTACAAGTACTCGTCGACAAGAGAAAGAACATCGGAATGGACACAGTGATTTGGGCGAAGAGGATCTCAACCATTCCACTCCTGATGATTCACATATCGACAACCCAGTCGCTCCCGAAAGTAATTCCCAGACACAACCTACCAAACCTAAACGTGCACATATGTTCGACGTGGACCCAATCACCGGTTCATTAACATCCACTAAGTTCAACGAGCGCCGATGGTATCGGGCTCACCGAAGACAAATCATGAACTGGCGAGCTGAGAATAGCGCTCCGATGATCTGGCCTTGGAAATGGTGGAATACCTTGACTGTTTCGGAGAAAGAAGGATGGCAAGTCGAAATGAAAGTCATCCGAGAACGAGCAAGAGATGTCTGGATTAAAGAGGTAGTGGAAAGAACCGTATTTGAACAAACGGCAAAAGCTGAGGGAATAGCGAAACAACGAAAACTGTCAACTTCCGAAATCGAAAGTATCACTTATGAGACACTCGAGGATCATGGTATGGGAGAATTGTTCACTGCTGATTGTTTTTTGGGGGCTTTGGGTCGTGAACAGAAGAATGTGCGAAGTGATAGATTATGGATAGTAGAAGGAGAAAGTTCCAATGAAAGAGGGAACAAAGGTAAAGAGGTTGAATATGAGTCATTCATGTCGACTTTGACATTCACAACAGATCCAGCAGACGAGTGACGTAGTTCGGAATTCCAACTTCGATTCGATATTCCAAAGAATGAATGGAAGTGATTTCAAGATTGGTAAAAAGACACATACACGACAACTTTTCATGACGATGATCCTGTGCAGGAGTCTTCCACCGATCATCGGTTGTCAAGTAATGTCATCATAGTCTCACCATCGACGGAGTAGTGACCAAGCCTTCCTAGTAGATTAAAGTGGGCAGTGTCGACAGGATCAAGGGACGAAATCGGCTTTCGAAATATTTACAAATTCATATACGGGTATGACTCCCTGTTAGATCGTTCAGTTTCATTCTCAGCTTGATTAAATCTAGGTGAGTGTAGATGGGAAGGGTACATAAGGGGATAGTTGACGGGTATGTAATATTGAAGTGTTGATCTGTTGACGTTTCTCATTCAGGGTAGCCAGTCGTTTTAGAGAATTAATCACTGAACTTTACGAGCTCGAGCTATTCTTTTTGATCATGAACGTTGGTTCAGCTAGTGACCCAATAGATTTAACACGTGACGAATATGATATCTCACCAATAAAGGTCTTCGATAGTACACGAATGCCTTCAAACCGCTCTTTAGAACCCACCGATGTGCCCTCGACCTCGATACCGTCTCTCACTATCGATGGCCCCGTCGTCGTCCAACCGGTTCGAACGCAAACTATCCATGATCCGCTCCAGCTGGCTTACATTCCTCCCTCCCACATGTACACGAAATCCGATGGCCCTTCGGACCACCCGTACCGGTCGTATGACTTGGCCCTAGATCAAAAGTTGATCCTTCCTCAACAACGTAAGGTGTGTAATACCCAGCAACCTCAAGATAGAGTTAACCCTTATCCTCAATATACCTCCTTCCCCCAGTTTCCGCTGGACCACGAAGTGCGCACCTCTCAACATTACGACAAACATGAGCTCCACCCGTGTCCACAATGCTCCAATTTCCCTCAATATCCTGGGAATCATTTCTCCCTTGAATATCTTGAGAAGAACGGCAATCCAAGCGAGGACAGAGTTGACCATGAATATCTACCAAAACCACGATACTACACCCCTGATCCCTCACAATATTTTCCTCCAAATCATGACGTCCGACAAGTGATGCCCACCTCACAAACCCATAGTATACCCTCTCATCAGAGTTTAAGCCTCTTCGACCATCATGCCACCCCCTCCCCAACAACAACTCTAAATTGTCCAGTTTCAATCCTTTCCTATGGCGTTCCATCACCTGCCTCACAGATGATCCTCGATCGTCCAATTTCGACCAGTGTCACTCTTTTCCCGATTTCACCCTCACCAATCTACAATCCTTCCCTTCAGACTAGATCCCCTATGTTTCCCTCACCAACAATCTTTAGTTATAGGACAAATTGCCAGGCGTGGAGCGAAGTGGGTACAGGGGAGGATGAACTTTGGCTAACAGATCAGAGGGAGGTATTTCCATGGAATTTCAGCATGAGTAATAGGTTCGAGATCAGAAACGGAAAGACCATTCTCAAAGCTGAAATGGCCAGATTACATGTCACTGGGGAACCACCTTCGGCACAAAGTGATATCGATTCGACGGTTACATCAGTCGTCGACATGACATTGCCGCCGTCCGTTTCTGGAGAAATGGTAATCAATCCCACTCATAATCCCGAAGGGTCGGTAGAACGACAATACGGTCTGAACGCGGTCTCCTCATCAGTTCGATATTCTCGTGAAGTGAGAATCAGTCGTGGTATCACCCGCTGGAAGTCGGAACAAGCCAAAGAAGCACTTCATCATCCCTATGCCCGGAGAGGGACGGACGAGGATGTCAGATCTTCCCGGAAGACCATCACACGGGAAAATCTTGGGGATCCAACCATGCATCTCACTCAAAAGGAGAATTGCCAAGATTCGTTCGCTCCGCTCAGTCAAAATAAGTCAACACCCCAGGTCATTCACCAGAATCGTCCGATGACACCTATTACTACATCCCAAACACAATGTTCACCATTTCAGCAGGCTACTGACAATCTCCTAGAACCACTTGAAGAACCACCAAGTGGTTCTACTCCAAAATCACCCCGTACTTCCGGACCGTCTAAGAACATAGGTGATGCTATCATGACGATGTCATGTGATACCTCAAAAGAAGTGACAACCGAGTTACCCGCGAACGACCCCACGATCGTCCTGTCTCACGTTGCTACCCCTTCCACAAACTTGACACGTAATGCTGGTGAGTTGAATCTATCAATGACGTGATCACCACACTCACACGTAGCGTCTTTGTCAAATCCAATTGATCCACCAAATCTTTACCCGGAATTAGAGAACCTACTCAATAATTTACCCTTCGAAATGCGACCAACGACCAGGATGAGTACGATTTTCTCTTCTTTCAGAAGACATCCAGAATCACGTACAAAAAGCCTTAACTCCCCGCTTTTCTATGTGAATCCACATTCACTGATACCAAATCTCACCGAAGAAGGTTTTTTTTCCATAGTGTCACATCACTGGAATCAATTGAAAAAATGGCAAAGGACTCATGTTCAGTACACATTCCATCCCAAAATTTCGGTGGAAGGGCAAATTTGTGACACTGGACCTGCGAGAAGCGCACGGAGAGATCAACGGTCTAACTGGATTAACCAGGTGTACCTTGCTTATGTAGTGAGACAAACTATGGAAGTGGTGGATATAGTGGGAGAAAAGAAGATTTCACAGGAGGGTTTGAAAAAATGTACTTATGTCGAAAAGGAGAAATATGGTTTGGGTCATTTGTTCACACCTGAAGAAGGAATGAAAAGTTTGGATGACGCCCTGAGGAGCTGGACAGCGGGTCAGGTACTTTGGAGTACAAAGTTCAAGCCAAGAAGGGAATGACGACGAAGACGATTGAGAAGGGGATGATCGGGGATGAGTGAGGTGAAAGCTGATTCGCCATGATTTGCCACTCGCCACAAATATTCATGTCTTGACGTATGGGGAAGAAAGGGACGAAGGTACATGAATAGGAGGAAAATCGAGAACACTGAATTTAACTGACGGGGAAGCTGAGAGGATTCGTTTCGGATCACTTCCCGGTCAAGTTCCGCCTATCCACCAATGGTGCCCTGGTCTCGGAAGCTCCATATGACCTTAGACGAGGGGAGGAGAAGAGGGAAAAGACATCCACACGCATCTCCGAAGCGAGTGGCATAATCGACATGAAAGGATGCGGAGGAGAAAACGGTCAACCGGTTTGAAGCTGTGCGTCCAGGTTACCCACCCTATGAAGGTGGGTAAGAAAGTGGAAGAAGATCACAACAAGGAGGGATTTTTGGAACCTAACTTCGCGCACGACATCAAATCTCTTCACGCACGACAAAGTCACGTGATCGGGCGTTAGGCCTGCGAATCCTGAAGAATTAGGCGTGAAACCCACATGGCTCGATCTCTTCTCATACCTCCAACCAATACTGCTTAATTTTGTCACTCTCCAAGACTCACAGGAGACAGGCTGCGGTTCTGAAACCTCGTCCAACCTTCTCAGCACCCCCAATAACCCCATTTCAATACATAGCTGCGAGTATACCCCATAAGGCGGCTGGCAAATCATGGAGAGAAGGGGTGTGTCACGAACTACGTCGCGACACCTCGATTACTCCACCAACAATGACCCTCCTTTGGCCATCAAAACCCCATCACGCCTTAACCTCTTTACTCTACACGTAACTCAGGACTTCTGACACCAAGTACGGCGAAGTTAGACGGAGTTAGGCTAAGTAGGGACAATGGGAGCAGAAGTACGGCGAAGTTAGACGGAGTTAGGCTAAGTAGGGACAATGGGAGCAGAAGTGCGGCGATGTTAGGCGGAGTTAGTCGAAGGAGGAAGAGGATGGCCGAGGGCTCGGGGAAGTTGGACTAAGTGCGTTGAAGTACGTCAAAGCGCGAGAGGGTTGGATGAACGTCTAGGAGGAGTAGATAATATTAGCTGAGAAGATCGCTGAAGTTCTTCAGCGATCCTTGATTGTTGTCAGTAGAGAAAGACAGATAGAGATAGCTATATACAATTCGAGATACATCGCCATCAGTAGAACAAAACCCCAGTTAGAGTAACTACGCCGAAGTACGCCGTAGTTACACTCCTTTCGACGTCTGCGCCCTCTCGGTTGGGTGAGACTTCAACTCAGGAGCATCAAGTTAGCCGAGGTTCGTCGACCGTCGGTCTGCCAGAAGATAGTTGTTCGACGGCCGTGACAGTATCAAGGATCGCTCTTACCGACGACCCGTGCGAACCTCGGAGAAGTACGAAGATTCTATGGAACCAGATAGGAGAGTTACGCGAGGTATGAGTAGGGACGGAGACAGGATGGAGGAGAACGAGAGGAGGGCACTGGAGGAGCTTAGCAGAGCGATGGGGCAGCAGCTTGGAGTGGAGGATAGTGTGGGGGGATCAATTCAAGGAGATGAGTTCGCTCCACCATTACCTTCTAATCCTCCTACACCTTCGGGTAATGCCCTCCCACCTATAGGATCCCCAGTTGGATCGGATCAGACCCCGCGGCCAGAAAACACTGGAAGTACGGCGGACTTGAGAGAAGAAGGTACACAAGGGGTGATATTGGCCTTGATGCAGATGGTGGCGAATATGAACAAAGACATGATGGAAGAGAGAAGGCGTAGGGAGGAGTGGGAGCAGAGAAGAGAAAGGGAGACGGTGGGCGGTATTGCAGAAGGGATATCAGAAGGGGTGAGGTACGCCATGGGACGGCAAACTTCGGCGACCCCAAGCGTAGTTGGCGAATCACGGAAGGGAATAAAACTGCCTAATCCGGACTTCTGGAGAGGAGAGAGGAACAAGTTGACCGCATTTCTGTCGGAATGTGAAATCCATTACGAACTGAACTCTCATCTTTTCCCCAACGACACTAAGAAAGTTTTCTTCATGATCTCTCATTTACGCGAAACACCTCTTCTCGCCGTTCAACCCGATCTTGCTAAACGACCCCTTCCTGACTACCTTGTGGAGTATGATCAATTCGTTAAATATCTCAAGACGAACTTTGGTGACCCGGATGAAGAAGGAACCGCAGCCCGATTGCTTAACGATCTAAGGCAGACTGGGTCAGCTTCGGAGTACTTCTCCGCCTTTCAACGACATGTGGCGATACTCAAGTGGTCTGATGACGGAAACCTGGTTGACCGAGCCAAGAAAGGGTTGAAACCACACCTCCTAGATGAAATTGCTAGACATGGTAAATCTTTTGGGACGGTCAAGGAGTTATTGGAGTTTGTTATTCCCATGGACAACAGGTTGTGGAGAAGGAAAGTGGAGAAGGATTCGGAGAAGAAGAAGGAGACGGGGGTAAAAGAAGTGTTAGTTGTGGATGGCCAGAGGATGGAGAGAAAAGAGGAGAAAAGAGGGGAAGGGAGGCAAACTTCGGCGCAGTCTGCGGTACAAGGGACTATTACGTCAAGGCAGGTCAAGAACATTCCGTCCAATGCCGACGAACTTCGCCGACAATGGCCTAGGCCACCTCCCGATCTGCGGGAGGCAAGGAGGAAGGAAGGGAAGTGTATTGAGTGCGGGGAGAAGGGACATTGGTTGAGGGACTGCCCGGTGAGGGCAGCGAAGGTCAAGGTCGGATGGTTGCCGCCGTGGGGGGAGAAGTTCGGCGAACGTGGTGGAGGATCAGGGGGGGAACGCAGTACCTCTAGGACAGAGGAGGAACTTGAACGCAGTCGGGGGAGATGGGGAGATGGAAGAGGACCAGGGAAAAGAGGAGGACCTGTCGCAGTAGGCGAGGCTCGGCGGGTCCGCCATATTCTCTCGGCCACCATTCCCAAACCTATAAAAGAGACACAGCTGATGGAGTCAGAGGATTGTGCTTACAAAAATACACCACTCAGTACCCCCTGTTCATGCAATGTCGATAATCATCTACTCATTTCTTCCACTTCTAGGGATCAACCTAAATCGGACATCTTTATTAATGGAATTAGGCTAACTACGCTCTGGGACACTGGGGCTACATGTTCGTATATAAGCCCTAGAGCAGCGGCGAAGATAGGTGTAGGAAGGAGACGATATCAGGTGAGCGTACCCGTTCACATGTTTGATGGCTCGGTTAGTGTCGCTGGACCTATCACCGAGTTTGTCGAAGTTGGTTTTAGTTTGACGAAGGGCGCCAAAGTGCGATCTGTTCGTCTAGATGTAACAACACTCTGCGATGCAGATGTTGTAATAGGGTGGGATTGGATGAGGAAGGAAGGGGTTGTTCTAGATGGAAGAGACAACTCGATGAAGTTCCCCATCCCAACCCCACCGAGTGCGGCGAAGTTAGCGGCCATAGGGCTGCCAACTCCGACGGATGCGATAGATCTCCGAGACAAAGATGACCAGGATGAACTGAGTCCGGAGGAACAGGGGGAATTGTATCAGGTGGTTCCTGAACAATATCATCCGTTCATTGATGTGTTTAACCCGAGGAAGGGAGGTGAAGAACTACCTCCCTCAAGGGAGTATGATCTGGAATTTGAGCTTAAGGAGGGGGCGAACCTGAAGGTTGCTCCACTCTACTCACTCAGAGAAGATCAGAGAAGTGCGCTGAGAGACATCCTAGATCGCGAAATATCGGCCGGAAGAATCCGACCCAGTAATTCGCCCTACGGATCACCGATGTTCTTGGTACCGAAGAAAGCAAAAGGTCAATGGCGAATGGTCATTGACTACCAAAAGTTAAACGAAGCAACGATACCCGACGCCTATCCACTACCTCTAATTGGCCAGATAGCCAAAGAGCTGGGAAAAGCGAGGTACTTCAGCAAGTTGGACCTGATTGGAGCGTATCAACTCTTGCGAGTAAAGGAAGGACACAAACACCTGACAGTGTTCAGGACTCAGTACGGTATGTTCGCGTCTCTTGTTGTCCGAGATGGTCTGCGAAATGCTCCTGCTGTATTCCAGCATTTTCTGAATGAAAGTTTCCGAGAACTATTGGGGAAGGGAGTAGTTGTCTACATAGATGATATACTCATCTATGGTCAAACATTGGAAGAATTGAGAGGAACTACGGCGAAGGTGTTCAAAGTTCTTCGAAGATCAAATTTGTTCGTCAAAGCTAGTAAGTGCGAGTTTGAAAGAGATTCAGTAGTTTTCCAGGGCTTTGTGGTCTCGCGGGAGGGAGTCTCTAGTAATCCAGAGTACATCGACGCTGTTGTATCTTTTCCCCGTCCCAAGAACCTAAGAGAGAGCAGAGGATTTATGGGAGTCGTTAGTTATTATCGGCGCTTCGTCCCCAACTTCTCCAGGATTGCTAAACCGATCAATGATCTCACAAGAAAAGATGTACCGTTTGTCTGGGGTATGGAGCAGGAAAGAGCTTTTAAAGAGTTGAAGGATAGAATGTGTAGGGCCCCGGTATTGGCTCACTTTGATCCTTCGTTGAAGACATTACTACAGACAGATGCATCGTTCTTCGGGTGGGGCTTCATAATATCGCAGGTAAACGAGTTAGGACAAGAACATCCGGTAGCGATCGAGTCAGGAGCGTTTCAAGCGGCGCAGTTAAACTATACGCTAGCTATCGTTGAGGCTTTTAGAAGAAGGAGGCACTTACTATTACAGGTAGAGACTACAGTTCTCACGGACCACTTGAACTTGACATACTGGATGGAACCGAAGCAGTTAAGCCCGAGGCAGGGCAGGTGGGTCGAAGAGCTTTCTAACTTTAGGTTTAAAATGGTGTATCGACCTGGGAAACAAGCTACACTGCCGGATGGACTATCGAGAAGAGCAGACTACCACTCTGGAAAAGGAAGTACTATGGTGCAGGAGAGCAATCTTATTCAAGGGTTGCCGAAGTTCGACGAACTCGACGGCACTAGCTCTGGGTTACAACACCTACTTCGTGCTTTGCAAGGGACAAAGGAAGTAAGAGAGAATGACCTTATTGATCCCATGGATCTGATTGTTGGGGTACAGGAAGATGGAGAAGTGGAGGAGGTTAGAAAAGAGCTATTAGGAGTCATTTGCGCTGAGTGTTCCCATCCAACGTGTCACGATGACGTACAGGAACCAGGATCAATCACCGAACTACGCCGTAGTTCGCGATCCCCTCTAATACTTCGGGGAGGATGGAACTCAAGGGGTTTCCTCACGTTCGACGATCGCACTTATGTGCCGAACTACGCCGAGGCTCGGCTAAAGATCATGAAGATGCGACACGATTCGGCCCTAGCTGGTCACCCAGGCTCAGCGAAG